AGGCTATAGTGCTATAGAATTTTCAATCTAATTTCTTGCCCCAGCATTGCCCTCCTAAAAGTCCTTCCGCCTCTCTTAGCCCATTTTCTCCACTTGGTTTGTCTCCTGCTGAGTCCTGGGAACACCTGACCAGGCCACATCTCTGATCCCCAGCACTCATTTTTTGGGACCCTCCCCTCCTTTGGCTTCTATTCACCTGAACTTGCCACTGCTGACCCTCTTCCTCTGCCTGCAGGTGAAGCGGGAGTTAGCTGCAGTTCTGCTCTTTGAGCCCCACAGCAAAGCAGGGACCGTGTGTAAGTCAAGCAGGGTACTGCAAGCTGGGCACAGGGCCTGGACATAGGTAAAGGCCACAGAGGAAGGGTGGTAGGTTCCAGGAGGGCCATGTCTGAGTTGTGCTTCTCTCAGTGTTCAGCCAGGGGGACAAGGGCACCTCGTGGTACATTATCTGGAAGGGATCTGTCAACGTGGTGACCCACGGCAAGGTCAGCCCTCCCTTCCTCCTGCCCCAGTCCCCTGGGTGGTGCCAGCCCCAAGGCTGCCAACCCCCCATGGCTCCTGTCTGGGTTCCCTGCCCTGGGCCTGTTCTGGCAAGGGCTAGGGGTTGTGGTGGATGTGACTGAGGCCTGGCTGCAGGGGCTGGTGACCACACTGCATGAGGGAGATGACTTTGGGCAGCTGGCTCTGGTAAACGACGCACCCCGGGCTGCCACAATCATCCTGCGAGAAGACAACTGTCACTTTCTGCGCGTAGACAAGCAGGACTTCAACCGCATCATCAAGGTGCTGCCACTGGGCAGGGGACATGGCCCAGAGAAGTGCTATGGGGCGAGGAGCAGGAATGAGGGGGCCCTATAAGAGCAGGGAAGGCAGGAGATGGAGATGCTGGGATGTGATGGCTGGGAGGGGACTGTGGCCCTTGGTGTGTGAGGAGAGGGAGCCCATGGCACTCTGAAGGGGCTCAGCAATACCAGCAATCTCAGCTGGGTGTTGGAGACCAAGGGAGTGGTGGGCTTACAGGGGGCAGGGGGCTGGGCTTCTGGGGAGACAGTATGGGTGAAAGGGGGGCTACAACAGGAAGGGGAGTGGGAGGGAATCCTGCTGGGTAGTGGGAGAAGGACAGAGGGCCTCTGTGGGAGCCTCACGGGGTCAGAGCCACACGTATAGGAGATGGTTGAGTGGGGCCAGAGCCAGAGCCACAGTGCACTGAGCACCAGATGTGGTCCTTTCTCCAGGATGTGGAGGCAAAGACCATCCGGCTAGAAGAGCATGGCAAAGTGGTGCTGGTGCTGGAGAGAGCCTCGCAGGGCGCTGGCTCTTCACGTCCGCCAACCCCAGGCAGGAACCGGTAAGGTACCCAGCAAGCTCCCTCTCCAGTCGTTTCTCTTACATTTCCCAGGCTTTGCTCCTTCCCCTGGATCATATCCCTGCCCTCTGGGATTAGGGTGCAGCCATTTAGGGCAGCCTCTCCCCACCCTAAATGGGGATAGACCTGGCAAATCAAGAAAAATGATGCGATTGATAATCAATGTCTGCCTTCAAGTGGGAGTGGGGGCAGGGCCGTGAGTGCTATGGAGTGACCATTTTCACTAGGTATACGGTGATGTCTGGTACACCAGAGAAAATCCTAGAGCTTCTGCTGGAGGCCATGCGGCCAGATTCCAGTGCTCATGACCCAACAGGTAGGGGCAGGAGACACCCTGCCTGTGCTCTGACTCACAGGGTGGTCAGCGTAACCTGGGAGGGGGCCAGACATGCTGCATCTGCCCAAACTGGGTGCTGGATTGATGTTAGAGCCAGCTGGCAGGAAGTCCTCTTACCTGTGCTTGGGTGGGACTGGTGTCACAGGGGTTAGGCATTGCTGGTATCTTGCTCATGGTAGGATTTGGGGAAGGGCTCTCCAGCTGTCCCCTATACCTGTGCTTAGCAGACCTGGCCTCTGAAGCCTCCCCCTAACCCCCTTCTCCACAGAGACATTCCTCAGCGACTTCCTCCTGACCCACAGTGTCTTCATGCCCAGTGCCCAGCTCTGTGCTGCCCTCCTGCATCAATATCCTCCCAACCCCAGGGGGACCCTGTGCTAGGGGGAGGGTGGCATGTGGCATGTGGATGAATACAAACTTCATCTTGTGTGTGGCTGTACTGAGCCCTCCGAAGACCCAGCCTCATGCCAGGCCCAGCTAGTCCAGGGGCCCTGGGCCTCCTGTCCTTTTCCTGAGCTGTGGAGGAGTGGCCCCAGTTGGATACTATGGTTCCCTTGACTGGTGCCCACCTTCCACGCGGAGCCCACGGGTGGCAGTGAGCAGGAGCGCAGCACCTACATCTGCAACAAGAGACAGCAGATCCTGCAGCTGGTCAGCCAGTGGGTGGCCCTGTATGGCTCCATGCTCCACGCTGACCCCGTGGCCACCAGCTTCCTCCAGGTACCTGGGAGCGAGGTGGGGCTTGGCTGGGCTGGGCTGCCCAGGCTGGATACAGCCACAGCCAACTCTGTCAATCTTGTCTCTTTGTAGAAACTCTCAGACCTGGTGAGCAGGGATGTGCGGCTCAGCAACCTGCTGAGGGAGCAGTGGCCAGAGAGGCGGCGGCACCACAGGTCATGCCTTGACTCTACCTTATTGTCACACCCACTACTCGCAGCACCACAGGGGCCATGAACTCACGCCCTAGCACTGTTCTCCACCATGCCCTTGCTGGCTGCCCTCGTGCACATCCACCCATTCTCGAGCGTCCTGAAATCCTTCATTTGTTCACTTGCAGGTCCTGAACGCACCTAGTCCTCTCACTCCCTCCACTGGGCACACGTGCATTACCCAGTGCCCTCAGTGCCAGTTCCTGTGGGCCCTGCCCCATGCATTTTCTAGACTTTGCCTTGGCCTTTCCAGACATTCCCACGGGGGTGACTGAGGTCCAGGGGCGGTTGAAAGCTTATCTGAAACAGTACCTTGGTGGAGACAGTGGGTCAGTGCTGTCCTGGGGAAATCACAGACTCTGGCACTCAGACCCGTACCCCTTCTGGGCTCTGTCCCTGTGATACTTAGTGAGTCATGCCTGCTTCTGAGCCGCCAGAGCCTTCCCGCCCTGCCCCCACAAGGTTACCCTGCCTCCACAAGGTTATCCTGCCCCTTCAAGGTTGTCCTGCCCCAGGGCTGGCTGGCCTCACTCCCTTCTCTCTCTTGCTCCACAGGTTGGAAAATGGCTATGGGAATGCATCTCCTCAGATGAAGGTGTCTGCCCTGTGATGTCACCTCTGTCCAGCCCGAACTTCTTCCCTCTGTTCCTTCTGGGACTGTGGGTCCCTCCCTCAGCTCCCATTCGAAGGGTTCAGCATGGGTCAGAAGCTTCCCCTCCCACGAACTGCCCTCAGCTGTGATAGGTGTTATCAGGCCCTTGCTGCCTATGATGCTTGGGCCCTAGTCCCTACTGGGGAGACATAGGTTTAAGGTGGCACCCCTTATCCCCAACCCAAGGGACTTTTATTCCTTTTGGCAGTAATTCATGCCCATCATTAGAGCCTGGGAGATGAGGAACCACGGCTGGAGTTAGCCTCTGAGCCTAGGGGTTCCTGGTGGCCAGTACTGTGGGAGCCCAAAGGAAGGCGAGGCCCCTCCCCAGGGTCAGGGATGGCCTAGACCATTCCCAGCTGGGGCCCAGGGGGAGCAATAGGGTCATGAGAAGGTATGACTGGAGCTGAGATTTGGTTGAGAGATGGTGGGAGAAAGTGCTGGAAAGGTAGATTGGGTTGGTGGTGGGGAGAATTGCATTGGGAATAAAATCTAGGTCTCACCCAGCCCAAAGACTCTCCGTTCCTAGCTTCCTCTCTGTCTCATCTTTCTGTTTCCTGGACACTATCTCTGGCTCCTCTTGTATAGGCAAAGCTTGTTATTGCCTCAGGGCCTCTATACTTGTTCTTTACCCTAGACCAGTGATTTTCAACCAATGTGCCTTGGCATACTGGTGTGCTGTGAGAGGATCTTAGGTGTACCTTGACAATTTTTAAAGATCATTAATTAAATTATTTTTGGAAGAAGTTCAAAACACAGTGAGTACGTTCTTTTTTTTAATTTGCTTTTTTGATCAACAAAATTTAAACGTACCGCAGGAGCTTAACTACAGGTTCAAGTGTCCCGTGAGATAAAAGTTTGAAAAACACTGGCCTAGACGGTTCTTTCTCTGGCTCTTTGCCTGACTGGATCCTTCTCATTGTTTCAATCTCAGCCAAAATGCTGGCTTCCCAGAGAGGCCCCTGGGAAGCCTCTCCCCATCCAGGGCTCTGTTCCCTCCCCCCACCCCTCCCTCTAAGGTGTCCTGCATGATTTTCTTTGAAGAAAACATGGAGTTTTCTGTGTCTACTTGCTGTTGTTTGTTACATCCCACAGGAAGGCTGGTTTCACTCTCAGAGGCCTCTGCCTCTCCTTCCCCCATGCTCATGTGCTGCTTGGCATGTGGCTGACCCTCAGGAACTGGCATGCACTAGCCTTCGAGTGCCAGACACTGGGCTAGGGGCTGATGCTGCAGCAGTGGGCTGGGACAGCCAGCGTGGGGCTCATAGCCAGGGCAGAGCTTAAATGGACTCTAGGCAGGAAAGCCAGAGAGGGGAGGGAGTCCGGGAGGAGGGGGAGCAAGAGCAGGATCCCGGAGGAGGCTGGATTTGGGCAGGAGCAAAGTGTGCAGGGTGCCCTGGGCCAGAGAAAGGGCGCTGGTCTTTGTCCTAAGGACAGTGCAAACTGATGAAGGGGTCTGAGCCAAGGATCGGCCAGGTCTGATTCTTGTTTTGAATAAGCTGACTAAAGAGCCTGTGCTTTATCCCTCAGACAATGACCGCCATTGGAGCCCACTTAGGGAGCTTAATTGGGCTCTGGTCAGGCAAATTGAGCAGGAGGGTAAGAAGGCATCTGGGGGAGATGGGGAGAATAGTTGGGCCATTGTAATAGGTAAGGGTGAGGCCTCTGGGCAGGTAGAGCTGGACTTAGCCTGGGCTGGGAGGAGGAAGCTGAGACCTGTCTCAAAGCCTAATCCCCAAAGCAGGGTGACAAGATATGGGAGGGTACGGGAGCCCCAGGAGAATGGCAAGGGAAGGAGAGGTCTGGGAGGCAGGATGACAGGGGTATCCGGTGGGTATGTTGAGTTTGGGGTGATGGTTCACGATTTGGAGGGGCTGGGAGAGTAGTGAGACAGGGTCTTGGAAGAGAATTCAGCACCGGTGGTAGTTTGAGACTCACGGACATGCAGGCCCACGTGAGGCAGTGAGGAACTCTGATGAGGGCCCTGAGATTTGGACGTCTAGAGAGGAACCATGGGCCAAAGTCTGCACATGGAGGATCTGGGAGGAGGAATAGAGCACCAGAGTCAGAGAGGACAGTGCGGGGCGGGAGAAGAGCCTGTGTTGAGAGGCTGCCCTGCCAACAGAGGAGGGGTCAGTAGTTTGGGGCACTATGCCCTGCTGCCTGGTAGTGGAGGTAGGAACAGGAGGGATTCCAGCTCTGCCACTTAGCAGTTGTGTGGCCCTGGGCATGTTACTTAACCTCTGTGAATCTCATTATGTCATCCACAAAATGAGAATAATACTACTTTTGTCAAAGGGCTATTGGGAGTATTTAGATACTTAGAATAATGCAGCAAAGCAAACAGGAGCTGAAGGAGGGAACTGGGGCCGGTAGCTGAGGGGTTCTGTATTAGAGCCACTCTGGACCTGTCTGGAAGGGGGAGAACGGACAGGTGGAGAATCGCAGACTTGCCCCATACCGAGACCTGTTGGTCCTAGGTAATTCCACCAAGGTTAGGTGAAGGCAGAGCCCTCCTGTGGTGTGAGTGCTGTGGAGGGTGGGGTAGGCATGTTCTTGATGACAAGGGCCCTCACTGTCCCCTCCCTGCATGCTTTCCTCCAAGTCTCATGTTCTCTTTTCTCTTCTTCCCAGGCCCCGAATGTTCCTATTTGGCTCCCCAGCCAGGACGAGCCCCTCCCCAGCAGCAACTGTGCCATCAGAGCTGGGGACAAAGGTTGGTGGTCTGAGGCAGCCAGGCATAGCCTGATGTCTGCATCCTGCTGTCTCTGCTTCCCCTGTCCCACTGTTATCAACCTTGTCCTTGGTGTACCTGGACCGAGGAGGCAGAATACTCAGAATTTGTCCCAGGCTACTGGGCAGAACTAACTGCCTCCTGCACTCCTCTCTCTGGCTCAGAGCCTCTCTGCCTGTCTGAAGCTCAGCCTCTTGGGGCTCCCTCCCAGCCCTGCAGTACAGCAGCCCTGTCCTGGGGTGAGGAAACCGGGTAGTCCCTTCCCCAGCTCAGCCTGCTTTCCCTCTCCAGTCTCCTATGACATCTGCCGACCTGACCACTCGGTGCTGACTCTGCAGCTGCCTGTGACGGCCTCTGTGAGGGAGGTGATGGTAGCCTTGGCCCAGGAGGACAGCTGGACCAAGGGACAGGTGCTGGTGAAGATCAATTCTGCAGGCCGTGAGTTGTGTCTCTGGATGGACCACAAGGGAGGGTGTCCCTCTAAGATCCAGATCCCCCAAGTTAAGACGAGTATTATCACCATCTTTCTCATCCTCCTAATGTGAAGGATCATTAGTATTTGTGGGAAGTTCGTGACGTCTGTTCAAAGTGCTTTACATGTAGTGCAGAAGAACATAAACTGCATTTGATACCAACCCACTGGCTTGGGCAGAGTACTTGCTTCCTAGAGGAATTGTGAGGATTGAGTGAATTAATCTATTAAAGTATCTGGCTCACAGTGATACATACGTATTGGCAGCTACTACTATTATTATTATTCTTCTATGCTCATTTAATCCTAACTAATAACAATCTTATGAGCTACAGATACCTTTATCCTATCTTCAGACAAGGAAACTGAAACTCAAGGGCTTTAAGCCCAAGTTCGGACAGTAAGTGAGAGTGTAGCTGGCCTTGGGAGTTAGGTAGTCTTCATTCATTTAGTCATTTGGCAAACATTTTTTGAAGGTCAGCTATGGACTAGCAGTATGTTAGTGGCCAGTGCTACCATAGCAGGTGGCATAGATCAGCTTGGTGGTTAAGAGCATAGACAGTATATTCCAGACCTGTTAAGGAATCTTAGACCTACCACTTACTAGCTGTGTGATTCCTGGCAAGTTGCTTAACTGCTCTGAGCTTCCATTTCCTCATCTATCAAATGAGCCCTGTGATTGTCTCTACCACACAGAACTGTGGTGGCTATGAAATGATCTAAGGTGTCTAATGCACTCAGCACATGCCTGGCACGGTCAGGATTAAGATCTGCTTTTAGAGAACTTGGGACATTAAAAATCACTGTTCTCTGTGAATAGCACAGGCCTGACAGCCAGAGCCCAGGATAGACAGGAATTAGGAACATAAGAAAGCTGGCAAGGGGTGGAGATGAGAAAAGCAAAGCCTTCTCCCCTCAGAAAGTGGGGAGAGACGGTCACCTGTGTGCTCGGCTGTGGGAAATACTGCTCTCTGGTGGCCATCCTGTAAATAGCATGTGCCCAAAGCCCATGTTTATTGAGACCCTACTATGTTCCAGGAACCCTTTGGAGCACTTTGATCAATGCCCATGTCAGTAACCAATATTTTGTTACTACCTTCCCCACTATGTAAATATTTGTTTATTAATCATTCATATATTACTACACTAATACCATTATAAAGCCATACACAAAACAGAAATACGAAACAGAAAAAATTAAGTAGAAAAGCCAATTTTTTTCCTGGATACATGGATAGACTTATGTACCTTACTTTGGAGGCCACTGGTCAAGGGACTGGGGACTCAAAGATGACTAAATACACAGTCCCAGTCCACAAAGAGCTGATGAAAATCAACACCAAGACTTGTTTGTGTAAGGCATTTCCCAGTTTTCAAAGGGCTTTTTTTTTTTTTTTTTTTTTTATAAATCCTATACTTACAGCCACTGTTTGTATAAACTATTTCATTTGACTTGTAAAGTACTCAGGGCAAGTCTTACTGTTTCTGTTTTACAAAGGGAAAATGTAAGACTCAGAGAGGTTCAAACCCTGCCCCAGCTCTGCCTGTCTCACTAAGAATTCCTTTTCATCCCCCTTGAGTGTGCTGCCCCAGGCAGTGTGGCCATGTGGGCAGGTGCACTTGTGTTTAGAGCACCTGCCCAGGACTCCAACTGCACTACTGGGAGAAGGGACCTCCCAGCCTTCCAACCAGGGCCTCCACCCTCCAGCTGATCCTGGGCCTCCCTCCCTTCCCCTACCCAGCACTGCCTCTGTGCTCTTTGCAGATGTCACTGGCCTGCAGCCAGATGCCCGCGGTGTGGCCACATCCCTGGGGCTCAACGAGCGGCTCTTTGTTGTCAACCCACAGGAAGTGCATGTGCTGGTAGGGACCAGGCAGGGTGCCATAGCCCAGGGAGGAACTCTGTTTTGGGGGTGGCGGGGGTGGGTTCTGGGGGAGGATCACAGAAGTAGGAGGGATCTGGCTCTGGCTGTAGCTGGGTCTTTAGTAGAGATAGGAAGGACCCGGCCTCAGCTGATGGGGGATTCCAAAACTCATGGTAGCTCTGGTTGGGAGAGCCCAAGGAGAAAGAGGAGAACTGCTTAGGGGTTTCCCCAGGGAATAGGACCCCTACGGGAAGGAGTCCCAGCATTGGGAAACCCCTCACTCCCCGAAGTACAAAAGGCCCTCCACCCCCAGCCCCCACCTACCACCAGTACAGAGCCCTGCGCCTTTCCCTGGATTTCTCAGGCACCCCCAGCCCTCTCCTACTTGCAGACTCCACACCCCGAGCAGTTGGGGCCCTCTGTGGGTTCAGCTGAGGGGCTAGACCTGGTGAGCGCCAAGGACCTGGCGGGCCAGCTGACGGACCATGACTGGAACCTGTTTAACAGCATCCACCAGGTGTGGGAACAGAGTGGGGGCGGTGAGCAGGAGGCAGGGCGCCCAGCTGGGTGCACACTGACCGGCGCTAACCTTCTCCGTGGTCCCCACCCAGGTGGAGCTGATCCACTATGCGCTGGGCCCCCAACATCTGCGGGATGTCACCACCGCCAACTTGGAGCGCTTCATGCGCCGCTTCAACGAGCTGCAGTACTGGGTGGCTACGGAGCTGTGCCTCTGCCCGGTGCCTGGCCCACGGGCCCAGCTGCTCAGAAAGTTCATCAAGCTGGCGGCCCAGTGCGTCCTTGTCAGGGGTGGCAGGGGGCTCGGCTACTGTCCTCAGGTTGCTTTTTCTTAAACCCCCTCCCTTCTCAGCCTGTTACCAAATCTGCCACCCCCTCTTTCTTCCCATGCCCCCTAGAGACCCTGTACCCCTATCACATCCAGCATGTGTTCCTGCAGAGGTGGCGCTGGCCCTGTCCTCGGGCAGTTCTGCCTGCTGTCTAGGGGTACTCTGGGTGTGGCTGCTTCCCTGAGCATCTCTGGGTCTTCTGCTCACAGCCTCAAGGAGCAAAAGAATCTCAATTCCTTCTTTGCCGTTATGTTTGGCCTCAGCAACTCGGCCATCAGCCGCCTGGCCCACACCTGGGAGGTAGGTGAGATTCAGGCCCCTGTTCTTCCTGGGGGTCCTGGTGGAGGAGTGGGTCTCCCTGCCAGAGCAGTGGCAGCTCACATGCATCTCCTTCACAGCGGCTGCCCCACAAAGTCCGGAAGCTCTACTCTGCCCTTGAGAGGCTGCTGGTGAGTGCTGGACTTGGTCTGACCCTTTAGAAACCCTCACTCCGGCTCCCGGCAGCCTTTCTGCCTGCCCTTTATCACTTTCTGGATCTTTAACCCTGGTCCAGGACCTACCTTCCTCTAGCCTTGAAACTGGGGAGCTGGCTGAGGAACAGGATATTCAGCTTTAGGATGGAGTCACTAGTGCACTGTGCCCCTCAGCATGTATATATGTGGAGACCAGGCCAGAGCATGTGGGGTGTTGGGGCAGTGTCAGGGGGCTGGCTGCCCGAGGGCTCAGGAACCTGAGGACCTGGCACTGACAGCCCACGTGTGCCAGCCCACAGCCCCTTGGGAGTGCTGAGGCACTATGGGCTAGAATAGCACAAAAAGTGAGGGAGAGTTGGAGTTGGCTCCACCTCCAGGAATTTTTGAGGATTTTGAAGTATTCAGGACAGAACTAGGAGCATAGCACTGGGAGCTCTCGAGAAAACAAATTCACCTCATGGGGTCAAGGGGTTGAAAAGAATTAACCCTCCAGAAAGAGAGAGACAGATAGAGAGGAGCAGAGAGAAAGAGGGAGAGGGACAGACAGAGAAGGTCAGAGAGAGTGAGTGTCAGGGAGGGGGAAAGAGGGACAGAGAGAAAGATGGAGAAAGACACAGAGAGAGAGAGAAGGTCAGAGAGTGAGTGCTAGGGAGGGGAAAGAGAGAGACAAACAGAGGGACAGAGAGCGAAGGTCAGAGAAATTGAATGTCAGGGAGAAGGGAAAGACAGAGGCAGACAGGGAGGGACACAGAGAGAATGCGAGGGAGAGGTGGAGCAGAGAGAGACACAGAAAGAGAGAGAGAGGTTTCCATGAAACTTCGGGCCCTGACCGGTGGCCATGAATTTCCTTAGGGCTGGTGGGAGGTGGGGAACCCACATGCTCACAGATTAGCAGTGACAGCAGCTTCAGGGCGTGACCACCTGCAGCAGAGCCTGCCCAGCTGAGACCTGAGGCTGGGGAGGAGGGGGGCTCTGCACTGAGGGGATGGGCATGGGACTCTCCTTGGTTGGCTTAGGCCTGGAGTGGGCTATGGTATGCAGGACCCCCACACGTACACAGACACACAAATATTGTGACTTCTTTCCCAGGACCCTTCCTGGAACCACCGGGTGTACCGACTGGCCCTGGCCAAGCTTTCCCCTCCCGCCATCCCCTTCATGCCCCTCCTTCTCAAAGGTAATGGGTGGGTGCTGGCCTTTCCTCCTAACCACCATCTGTCAGAGTGGCTATGACTGTGACCTAGAAGTCCCCCGACTGGAGGAAGGGCATTCAGGACCTTCGAGATGAGGACACTGCTGCATGAGCTGAGGGGAAGGCAGTGTGGGCAGGGCCAGGACCGAGGTGCCCCCTATTCACTGCTTCTGGGTACAGAACAGGGAGGAGTTTGGGGACCTGCAAACAAGCCCCATCTCTTTGCAGACATGACCTTCATCCATGAGGGAAACCACACGATAGTGGAGAATCTTATCAACTTTGAGAAGATGGTGAGTTCAGGAGAAAGGGGGGAATGTGACTGTGGCCTGGGAAGGGGGCAGGGCTGGGAGAAAACTTACATCGTTGTCACTCTGTGGTCTCTGCGACCAGATGAAAGCTTATTGTTAAACTGCCCTGCCTCACTCCACTGCAGACTTGGGGGGCTCATTTCCATGGGGGCATGTCAGAGGGCAGCCTCAAACATCTCCCATGCAACAAGCGCCCCACACAGCCCTTGTCTCTCTAAGCACTTCCTGACTTATGTCCCCTGTCCTCCGCCTGGTCCCCACTGGGCCTCTGGATATGCTGGAAAAATCAGATGTGACCTCAACTCTTATAGCCCCCTAAAGGCCCCTGTTCAGAGGGGGCTTGGATTCCCAGTTGCCCCATAGGGCAGGACAGGGCTTTACCCCTCAGGCTAGATCTCATGTCCCTGTGTTGCCCACAGAGAATGATGGCCAGAGCCGTGAGGATGCTGCACCACTGCCGAGGCCACAGCAGCGGTGAGAGGGCCGGACCCCAGGGTGGGAGCTCCACTCGACCCCTGTGAGGTCCAGCGTGGCCCTGATTCCTGTCTTCCACCCCTCACCCCACCAGTGCCTCTCTCACCACTCAGAACCCGAGTTTCCCACTTCCATGAGGACAACCAGGTGGCGAGGATCTCCACATGTAAGTGTTGTAGGGAGGGCCTGGGGTGCCACTAATGGTTAGCTGTGGCTGGCATTCCTGGGCACTGGGCACTGGCCACATGCCCTGCATGGAGCTGGGCACTTCCATTTGTGATGTTGATAACTCATCACGACACCTCTATGGGGTGGGTGACAGTGTTTTCCCAACTTAAAGATGAGGAAACAGGCTGGTGCATTGAGGTCACTTGCTTGAGGCCATATGATGAATTAGTGATAGAGCCAAAAGCCAAACACTTTCACTCCAGACCTACATTTTTTTAACTGGACCTCCATTGCATGAGTGAGATTGATCATCCCCAGCTCATACCACACTGCGCCCACGGGCCCTTAGCTTTAATTGATATATGCTTCATTCTGATAGTACGATGAACATCTCTGGACCCAACCCAAGTGTGAGAACATTGACAATAACTTCTATCTCTCACTGTCCACTCAGCCCCCCACTCAAGGTTACCCCATCCTGAATTCTGAGTTATTCATTTTCTAGTTTTTAAAAATAGCCTCATCTCACACGTGCCCCTTTAAAATCCCCTCATATCTAATACGCAGATATATAGAGGGTGCAAAAAAAAGTCTACATAATTTAAGAAAGGAAAAAACCTAAAGTTGTAATACTCAATGTATACTAATAACAAAAGATGAATACAAGTCACATTGAGTACTTCTTATAATTGCAGAAGTCATATGTCACTTGAGTATTACAAATTTAATAGTTTTTTTTCCTTTCTTAAAATGTGTATATGTCTTTTTGGTACACTCTGCATCTATTCTGACAAAATAGTCTATAATTTAGTTGCCTTTGGGCTTAGTGGAAAGAGTGCCGTGCTGCATGGAGCCTGGGAACCCACTTTTTTCAGCCCTTTGCTCTGGGTCACGTGCTGCTCTGCCCCCCATCTGTGGGGTGGGAGGACAGCAGTCCTGGGCATTGGTGATGGTGGTGAGGGCAGGACAGCCATGTGCTTCTTGGAGGGGAAGTGATGGCTTCTAAAAGTGGTGTTGGTGCCTCCCTGACCACCCTCCCCTCCTCCCCGCCAGGCTCAGAGCAGTCCCTGAGCACCCGGAGTCCAGCCAGCACCTGGGCATATGTCCAGCAGCTGAAGGTCATCAACAATCAGCGGGAACTCTCCCGCCTCTCCCGGGAGCTGGAGCCATGAGGAAGGGGCTGGGACTGGAGCAGGCACTTCCCGCCAGGAAAGCCAGGGCACGCCGGCCAAGAGGCCCGCAGGCTGGCCGCAGCTGGGCAGGGCTCTCCGCGGAGTGGACTCGAGGCCCTGGAGTGGGCGACGTGGAGGCAGCTGTCCCCCGTGATGACTGGCAAGCTGGGGAGGACCTCAGCGTGGACCTATGCTGGCCTAAGGCTAAGGAACGGGGACAGAGAGGCCCTGGGAGTGGGTGGGAGAGCGGGGCGGCTGGGACTGTGCGTTCAACAGAGAGCTCTCCACACCAGCTTCTTTCCAGATTCCATGCTTCTGGTTCTGTTGTCCAGCCATGTGAGGCCCCTGTGGTTTGTTTGCACAGTGGGCAGACAGAGACTGCATGTGTGTGGCATGTGTGTGGCAAGGGCAAGGGCCTTGGACAGGGAGGGCTGCGGGGGCAGGGCGTCTTGTTTTTCTTTCCAGAGCCTGAGATAAACAGCTGGGTGTGGGCAGGGCTGCAGCAGGGGAGGGTGGTCCCTGAGGAACTTTATTGTTACCATCAGTTGACAAAGTACGTGTGTTCTGAGGCCAGCCACAGGGCATGTGACCGAGGAGCAACCTCACCCCACCACCACCACCAATGTGGTCTCTGCGACCAAGGAAGGCACCAAAGTGCCTGCAGCCCTGGCCTCAGGGCAGGCTGGAGCCTGGAGCCCTCAGGCCAGCCAGGGTTGGGTGGCCAGCTGCCCTCCACGGTGGTCTGATAAGACTGGTCCAGTCCACATGCAACTGGCATCATCCACCTTCTTCCTCCTGACCCCCATCCCTGACCCATGCCCTTGAGCACATCCTGGCCCTTTGGGTGGTGATCATGCTGACAGTAGGGTGGGGTGGGAGGGGGACAGGGTTGGGGGGAGTGTGGCTAGTGTTAGAGAAGATGCTGAGGCCAAACAGACTTCCAGGAAATTGGAATTTATCATCAGTGGTGCCAACGGTTCCAGCAAGCTCTGTTAGCATGAAGTCCTCTCTTCCCTGCCCTACGGCACATTCCCTAGGTCCCAGCTGCTGCCAGGACCCCTCCTGCTGAGCTGTGGGTGGGGACTCTGCCCTCCTTGGTCCCCATTGCCCCAGAGGCGGAAGGTGCATTGTCGGGCCTGAGAGAGACCTCAGGCCCTGGCTTGCTCTTTGAGTAGGTTTGGAGGCAGAAGGCCCACACTTGGGAGGAGAGGAGGTGCTGGGGTGGCCCCTCCTCGCCTGCTCAGCACACACCCCACCTCCTCTCACCTCTACACTGCCAGACAGCTCTCAGCCCTGTGGCAGTTGTGGACACATGCGCCAATGGCCAGAGCCCTTGGCAGAGCAGCAATACAACTGGGATTATACTTCAGGTTTCTAAGCGATTCTTGTTTTTTTTTCCTAAGAGAATCTGAGCAACTCAATGAACAATTCCCTGCCTTCTTTTCTCCCTCTGTAACTGGGGATGATGACCGTCCCCCATCTCTTAGTGACTAATGAAGGGATGAATCCACAGCTCCTGCCTCTGCACAGAGGTGATAGCCACGGCAGCCTCATGTCCAGGCCCGGTGGAGCAGAAGCTGGGATGGAGTAGAAGCAGGGGTAGCCAAACCAGTTCCCTCTCCCCGGGTGGGGATGGAGGATCATGGGGAAGGGAAGCTTCTGGACATGAGCAATTAGGACAGGAGGCCCAAGCCTTGGTGAGTCAGAGTCCAGGGCCTTTCTTCTCTTTTAAACCCATTGTCTGTCAGCGTCTCACAAAGGCCAGAGCAGCCGGGCCCTATGCCATCCATTCAGGATGCCAGGCCCAGCCCCATCACCCACAGAAGCCAAGTGAGAAGGGGTTGGTGCCGTCCACCAGCATTTCTCTCCTCTCCAGCCACACCTATGTCCTGGTGGAACTGGCTGCGTGAGGACCTCCCTTCTGTGCTGGGCTGCCCTGCAACCTCCCAGCTGCCTCGGACTCTTGGGCAGGACACCTTGTTGGGAAAGGCCCTGCCAGTAGAATTGTGCCCAGGACAGACAAGAGGACACAAACTCTGGGAGTAGGAAAAGCTGAGGCCCAGGGCACCCCCAGAGGACAGGAGGCCCAGGAGGAGAAGAGCCATATTAGGGTGGTCTCAGGTTGGACAGCTGTACAGCATCCTATCTCCCCGACTGCCCAGGCATGGGGAGGTTGGGGCAAGGCTGCATCCCCTTGAGTTCCCTAGCAGACCAGGCTATGTGGAGGGCTCCCATTTTGAACCCCAGCTCCAGGATGGCCATGATGGGAGGGGGTTGGGCTGCTGAGAGGAAGATGTGAGGGAAGGGTGTGTGGCCAGTGGTCAGTCCTTTAAAGATGTCCATCACCTAAAAGGTTAAGCAGAGAGGGAATGGTGTGTCCTATGGGGGAGAAGAGGATGGGGGTGTCCCCCTTGCCTTTATCTCTTCTATGAAGGCCCTGGGCTGCCTGGGCCCAGGCTGGGGCCTAACCGTGGGTGCACACCAGGAGGATCCTGGCTCTCAGCAGATGGGGCGAGGCTGTCTGGGGAGCCAGGACCCTTTGGGATGCTCTGGCTCCTCTCCCCTCTTTCCCTGGCCTCATCTGAGCAGGATGGATCCCTGCCCCTCCATTCAGCACTGAGTCAGGGCCGGGTGGAGGGCAAGCTGCTGGGGTGGGAGCTGACAGCACTGGCCTCTGGCTGCTCTGCTTTCCCCAGTCACAGGATTCATCATGATAATAGTTGGTTAATATTTAGTGTTTTTATCCTTTTTCAACATCACGTTTATACATTTTATCTTTACCCTGATGATAGAATAGAGATCACAGGTATTTTTACTCTTGTTTTACTGTAATAGAAACTGAGGCACAGAAAGGTTTGCCTACAGTCACATAACTGCTTAGTAACAGGGTAGGCAAATAAGGTAACTGGATGTGTATCAGCAACACCCTGTCCTCATGCTTCCAGCACTCCCCATGACAGCTCCCTGAACCCCAACACTTTCTTCTCTTGTAAGAATAGACTCAGGCATAGAAATTCCTTTCTCTCTCCATTCCCACGTTCCTTCCTTTTCAAATATTTACTATGAGCCCTGTGGGGGCTCTGAACCAGATAGGCAGTCCTAGACCCTACAGAGCCAGCCACCCAGCCAGGCAGACAAGTCCATCAGAAGGGGAAGATGCTGTGAGGAAAAGCCTGGGGCGTGGAGTCTCACCCCTTAACACTGAGGTCAGGAGCTGCTCGCATGTTGGAACACATGTCCACAGCTCAGCTGACCGTCACCCTGCATGCCAGCCTGCACAGCTCCGTCTCCCAGCAATGGGGGTGCTCACCCCTCACCACTAGCACAAGCCACGCGGGTATCAGGTATAGTAGCTGGTGGCTGGAGCAAATTCTGACCTGGTAGCTGTCCTTAATTCCTCTCTTCCTTCCATGGACCGATAGCCAGAAAGTACACATGTTTCCAAAATACATCCTTATACCACAACCTGTACTCAAAGTATTGAGCTTCTCATATATCTGCCAGGGCCTGCGTTAAGTGTCCACTCAGGCCTGTCTTGTTGCCTCTGCCAATTCAGGCATTGTCTCTCAGATTCTGGCCATTTCCAGACCCCATCTGTAACCCTCCTGCAGCCCAGCCAGATGGCAGCCGAGTGTAAGGGGGCCTGTAACCCAGGGCCTGGACAACGGCTGCACCTCCCAGGGATGATGAAGCTCATCTCTGTGAGAAGCTGAGTCTGACTCAGCTGTGCTGTGAGAGCGTCTTCTCTCCCATGCTTGGGGGCCTATCTGGAGCAGGTGGCCTTGTTGGGGCAGAAGGTAGGACATGGAGGAAGAGACCTGGTGACCCTCCAGAAGGAAGAAGGCTGACCTCAGAGCTCGGACCCACTTTCTGTGTTGGGAGATGTGGGGTTCTAGTTGCTTGTGTGTGGGTACAGGCTTTAAGCAGGGTGGCCCCTGGAGTAGGGAGCCAGATGTGTCGGGCCTCACCCTGCCTTATCCTGCCAGAATCTTGGCCCTTGGAAGGAGCTTGGGGCCTTGGTTTGCTCACTGGGATGTATGTGAGTTGTGGACAGTTAGGGCTGTTCTGGGTTGCTGAATGGAGGGCCTTGCAGGTTTTGCTGGCAGTTAGGAGACCCTACCCAGAAGATGAATGGGGAAAGGGTGCCTTTTTCCTGGGGCCATGTCAGCAAGACACTTTAAGTCTACTTAACCACCCAGAAAAGTGTCCTGTTAACCAGAGCTTATGGCAGCACAGGTGTCCTTAGGTGGGCAGAGTGCTGGGACAGAGGGAGCCTCAGTTTCTCAGCAGCCACATGGCCTCGGGCAAGCCCCTTCCCTTCCTCTCCCTGGGGCTCAGTTTCCTCATTTATAAACAGGGATTAGCACTAAGTCTTTGGGGGATTTTTTTCCTGCCCTTCATGTCTAGGACTTTGTCAGCTCAGGCTATCAAAAGGGAAGAGGGGCACAGTCCCCTCCAAGCATCTTCCCAGCTGTGGCCTCCAGCCAGACTGCTCACAGGAGGCATAGTCAGTTGCAAATAGTTTTATTAGAAGGGTTCTCAAGGCTCCCTACCCTGAAATGTTGCTTCCTGCAGCCTGCCCGAGTGCAGGGCGGCTTGCCTTCTGTTCCTTGAGTTTAAGTTGACTCCCCTGTTATGTACATACAAAACTTAGGAAGATTCTAATGGCTCAATAGTTCCTCTAATTAATACTTCTAATGGTCATTTTAGGAAGAAAAATAGGACAGCAAGAGCCCCGAGGCAGTGGCATCAGGGGGAATTTTAATGGCATGATCAGGTGACAAGGTGTTGTAGGGTCCCGGGGGAGCAAGGGTGGGAATCACAGGGAGAGGCCACTTCCACAAGCTCAGCTTTGCCGGGGCTGAGCTTCCAAAGATCAACCTGTGTGCTGGAGAGAGCCTGCATGCGCCGCTGGACTCTGGTGGCCCACGGAGGAGGGGAACCATCTCTGTTCCTCCTCTTGTTCTTGGTGGCTTCACACCAGGCAGCTGTGGTAATCTCATGAAGTACAGCATAAGGCTGGGGACACTGATGTTCCCCACTGCAGCGCTTAGCTTCCAGTGGAGCAAGGTGCAGCTCCTCCAGATGCAGAAAACAGGTGGCTCGCTTGGGGACCACACCAGGTGAGTCAGCTGGCACAGCACATCCAAGTGCCATCCCCCAGACTTGAAGATACTATGAGTGCATATTTTTAAAATTTAAATTCATTTTGAAATTATAAAAGAAATAGCACCT